GGCCACCTGGTGTAGCGATCAATTATGGTGAGTACGTAACAAAAGCCCCCCGAAGGTGTTAGTGGACCAACGATATCAACGTTTATGTGTTCGAAGCGGTGACCAGGTAAGATGTAAGTAGAAATTTTTGAATTGTTGTGTCGGTGAACTTTTGATTGCTGACAAGGAATGCAGCGACGAAGAACTTAAACGCACTCCTTGTTAATACCAGGCCACACGAAGCGACGCGTTATCAGCTTCGTTGAAGCTCTTATGCCTGGGTGCGCGAGACCATGAAGTTTTAGGATAACTGCTTCACAAAGCTCTTCTGGAATGTATGGACGAACGATGCCAGTTGACACATCGCAATAAACCTCTGCTGAATAATCAGAAAACGTTAATGCTTTTATTTTCAAGGAATTACCCATCTGATCATCCAGGATTTCACGAAGTTCAGGATCAGACTTCTGTACGTTGGCGATGACAGCGTAATCAATAACTGAAGTAGAATCAATTTGATTGATCCTGGACAAAAAATCCGGTACAATGTTGCTTTTACCGGATACATGTCTGATGTCTGTGGTGAATTGCCCGACAAAATCCAAATGGCGCTGCTGACGAGGAGAAGAGTTTTCGACCTGCTTATGTAGTGCATATATGAGCGGTTTGTGCTCGGTGTTGATGTGGAAATCTCTGCCTTCTAAAAGATGACGAAAGTGCTTGTAGAATCATTTGATTATCTACAGCGTGAGGAATGAAACGCCGATAAAAGTTGATTGCAGCCAAAAATCGTTTTAGCTCATTAGCAGTTTTTGGTAGTGGATAGTCTTGAATTATCTTGACGCGTTCCGGTAGCGGTTCAATCCCTTTAGATGAGACAAGATGACCGAGAAAACGTAACTCGCATTTGCCTAATATGCATTTGCGTATGTTGACTCGCCATTTGAATTTGCGCAAGCGCGTAAATACGGTGCGCATGTGATGCAGATGTTCTTCAACGTCTCTTAATGCAATAATTATGTCATCAATGTACACGAAAACGAAGTAAAGATCTGCCAACGCCATTTGGATGAATCTCTGAAAGGTTTGAGATGCATTCCTTAGACCGAAAGTCATGTCCACGAATTCAAATAATCCAAATGGTGTGATGATGGCCGTCTTTGAAATATCATCAGGATTGACTGGAATCTGATGAAACGCTTTTTCTAAGTCGATTTTCGAAAAAACGTTGTTACCAGCCAGGATATGGGTAAAATCTCGGATGAACGGAATCGGATAACGATCCGGTACTGTTTGAGCGTTGAGAGCTCTGTAATCTCCGCATGGTCTATACGAACCATCGAATTTTTTAACCAGATGCAGTGGCGTTGCCCAAGGTGATTTAGAAGGACGGCAAATGCCCATTTTCACCAAGTACTCGAACTCATCTTTCGCTGCTTTTAGTTTTTCCGGTGTTAACCTCCTGGCTTTTGCGAAAACCGGAGACCCTGTCGTCTCAATGTGGTGAAAAACTTCAGAATCGCCAACCGGTTGTGAATTTACGGTGGTTAGTTCAGGAAATTCAGATAAAAGTTTTGTATAAGCGTCGGAAACCATAAGGAACTTAGGCGACACTTGAGAAGATGTGATTTTGTTAATGTTGCACTTCAAATTGGTCTAGTTGTCGATTAGTTTGTTGTGTTTTACGTCCACCAGTAAATTATAATGTGAAAGAAAATCTACTCCAAGAATCGGAACCTTCACATCAGCAATTACAAAAATCCACTCAAAATCTCTGCGCAGACCAAAATCAAGTTGAAGGCGTTTTTTGCCATACGTTTTGATTGTAGAACCATTAGCAGCAAAGTTCTTCTTTCAGGACTACGAGTATTATGCAAAAATGTCGGAAGAACTGAAACGTCAGCTCCAGTGTCGATTAAATATTTTGTGGATGATTTGCGGTCTGAGATGCATAGACGGTTGATATTTGCAATTTCGACATCCGCGCTTACATTAGATGGTAAGCAGCGTCACCATAGTGTGCGTAGAAAATCATCTGTGACTCTGTTGTCAGCCAATTTCCTCATTTCGGTTAGTAATTCCGAAGGCTTCCTGTCTCCTAGCTCGACTTCTGCTAATAAATGGCTGGATTTCTTTTGCTGTGAATCCGCAAAGGCAGCCAGAATTGGCGCTTTTAACGCAGAGTATTTATCAGTCGCTGGTGGTGCTACTACCACATCACTTACCCGTGCAAGAATTTTGCCATCGATATTCCCAATGACATGGTTGAATTTAGTGTCATCAATCGTAATACCAGCAACGATGAATTGCGCCTCCACCTGAGCGAACCATATTTCAGGATTCGCATTCCAAAAGGGTGGAAGTTTCGCTGATACCCTGTTCAAATTCACGTCACCCACTTCTTTCTGTTCTTCGGTGCTCGGCATGGTGATTTGGTTTCAATGCGTGGATATTTTAGAAAAAGTTTCTACACTTCCACGTGTCTACTGTTTATATACCGCAATAAGTTTTATGTGCTATGTAGTACGACTCGTATGTGCGAATGTCCGTTTGCAGGACCGAATTTCACGTAAAAATGCTTTACGCGACGGTATTTTAGCACGAAAAGGTATTTCGAATGCACAGCGAATTCTTTTTTTCTAATGAGGGGTCACCAATATGGCGGGTGCCATCAATAGCTTAAGTAAAGAAAAACTACACGGTTTGTGTTCTAGAAAAAAAAAACGTCCGTTCTATTTGAATACTCTTAGCTAATGATGATTTTACATCTCTATATACATATTTACAAGGAGCTGCTAACCTGCAGCGGTGATACTTTTTAGAAATCTCTATGAAAAGATTTTGTGCTGAACTTTTAGTATTATGGGGTGTTCTCACTTTAGCGTAAAGGTGTGTTCACACTGGACCCACAGTCTTGAAGGGAATGTAGTAAGAAAACATATGATCGAATTAAAAAGTGTATACAATTTATAGCCGAAAAGTACATCTTTTGTATAGATTTCGTACTGAAGGTACAATTTCATTTCCCAACACTGATACAGAATGTAAACAAACACAGGGTTGCAAGCAAAAAAAATTGAACGAGCTCAAAGTTGGCTGGCGACCAACTTTGTTGAAAGCGATTAGTTGAAAGGCCGTTTGGACGAGGCGATTTTTGCTTTCAACTAAAAGGTGCCTGAAAAATCGCCTTGTGCGAAAGCCCTATTAGGGCCGTTTGCACCATGTCTAGTTAACTCTAACTCCCAGTTAAACATCTTTATCGACGTTATCGACACCCATCATATAACATGTGATCGATAAAGCAGTTAACGTGCTTAACTGAAGGATGTACCTCCAGTTAGCGTTAACTAGAGATGGTGCAAACGGCCCTTAGTGGTATCGATTGAACCCTACTCACAACAGAACTATTGATGACATTTAGTTCATCAGCAAGGGTTTAATGCAAGAAGCGTGTTTGTTGCCAATGGCGATATTTTGTGTGGTTGAATTTATTTGAGTTTTTAATAATTCTATCTGCACATAAATATCGTTTGCTAAACAAACCTACAGACGTTTTTACAGGAATATTGGTTTTTGTCGTGCACTTCTGCATCTGTTCTCCTTTTACTCTCACTTGAAAGAGTAAAATTGTAGTTTGCCAGTTCCACAGGTTTTAGTCCGAAGTTCAAAGGAACAGACTAAACAATTGACTGAGCTTAGGATACATAACCTCACTTGTGACTGCACTTGGTTTATACACATTCT